AGACCTGTCCATGAAATGTTGTTAGAAGAACAGTTCAAAGGTTTTCAAATAATAAAAAAACAGCTCTTCTACTGAGCTAGAAACTTGTTTTTCTTCAGCTGGTCATGGGTCTTTCATCCTGTTATTTTTTTTTTTTTTTTTCCTCATTAGAAACCCAGATTCCTTTTTTTTAAAAAAAAAAATTATTATTATTATCTGTAGCTGCAAAGCCTGCGGCCGTCTTCAGTGTTGGATGGATTAGGAACAGCAGAGCTGAGAAAAGACATCATTTTTTGGGGGGAGACTACAATTCTCCAAACCCGCCCTGATGAAAACATGGTGCTAGATGATGGATTCTGGGGGTTTGTCCTCCTGCTCCCCAAAGTCACTTTTCCAAGCTCTGGGTGATCAAAACGCCGCCTGTGAGCCGCCTTAAAGCTGGTTTTTTTTTTAATTGCAAAAGCGGGTCGTGAATTGCAATTTAACCAAAGGTGCTTCTAAACCAGCAAAGCTGATGCTGTGGGAAATAACTCCACCTTTTAAGGTCTTGCAGGATTCTTGCTTAGTTTGGTTTCTGGAAGCAAGTAAAGTGCCCAAGACCGGTGCCGGCATTACAAGGGTTGATTGTTTTACAGTATATCTTTGTGGTGTTTCCATGCCAAAAGTTTTCAGCATCTCAGAGCGGCTAACATAATAAAAATGCAGGAGCAGGTTATACTTTTAACCAACCATTAAGAACGGAAAACAAAACAGAAAACATATAGCGAGCTTTTGATGATAAATCCTCTTCTTCAAGGCTGTGCATCAAGTTCTTGTGAGCAGTTTCAAACTTAGGTGCTGTTTTAATGTCCCAAATTCACATTGAAAACTTGCTAATTTTTAAAATACATACAGTACAGTACTGTATTCTTAATGGCTGATTAAAAGTATCGGATCCTGCATTTGTATTGTTTTCACAACCATCCAGCTTTTTCCTGAACAAAATTAAAAAGTGTCTGCAACCAGAGTAGTCCCTAAAAGTAATTTATCCAGCCCCTGTATTTCTCTACCAATCCTTACAGCTTCCTAAATGCAGAGATTACTTTATTCCTTACACCAGTCACACTGTTAGTACTATAAATGTTTGCTAGGTGATGATCCTAGCATCAGCTTTTTTTGTTTTCAATAAAAGCAGATGCCTGCATTGTATGAACTGCAGGAAACTTTAAAAAAAATTGTATGGTCCTTGCGCAGAATCCCAAAACAAAGCAGGGAGGTGCTTTTATTAGATTGCTAACAAATTAAAAATCATGCAAGTTTTGAAATCCAGCAGGGTGTGTCGGAGCTAAGGGGAAGAGAAGCAGAAAAGGCCAGAAATTATTCTGACTTAGATGGGAACACTGGTAAATAGGCCACAGTCTGAATGAAGTCCGTCTTTCAGCAATAATTCTCTTTTGTTCATAGCTTTGTGTGTTTTAGAATTGTTTAGGCTTTGACTGCTCTTGAGAGCAGATGGGATAATGCTTCATTTTGGAAAACAGAGGTCCTGGAACTCAGAATTGAGTGAGATCCTGCTGTTTGTGGCTTTTCTTCATTCAAACTGTGTTGTGACCGGTGGAGAATGTTCGGTGTCGAGTCCAAAGGCACTCTGTACATGCCCAGATGTAGCTTTCTTTCTTGCATGTGCCCACATCTTTTTTAAAAACAGCATAGCTGTAGACTATATAAAACTCTTAAGATAATATAAGGCTCACAGGACCTGCAGAAATTTCGTGTGGGTTTGTGTATGCGCATTTACTTACACCACTATGTGCTCTGCAGAGTCTTGAGCATCCTGTTTAATCCAGCTCTGATGTGCGCTGCAAGTAGAAAATCAGTCAGTATTGCACATGCATCAAAACTCGGTGCATGCAGAAGATTCCGGGATGCAAATATTAAGGCAGGCAGGTACCATGTGGGTGTGGGAAGCTTCGTTAGCTGTTCTGACTGGGAGAGGAAATCTTTGTCATTGACAAAGATGGTAATGAGTCAGATTCTGAGTGAAAGCAAAACTTGTATACTGAGTCATCCAAGAGAAATGGGAAGATATGCAGATCCTCAATAGAATGTCATCACTTAGGGTATTTCTTGTGGCCTTTGGGTTTTCTCAGACCATACTGCTAAGCACAACTCAACTGGCTGTTGATCTGAATTAGGCCTACGGGTTCCCAAATCTTGGGTCCATCCCCAGATGCTCTTGAACTGAAGGCTTCTGGGAGTTTTAGTTCAAGAACATCTGGGGACCCAAGGTTAAGAAGCATTGCTTTACACCTTTAGTGGGCGGGGACAGGCTGGGATGATTTGAATGGACAGAAGGGTTGTTTTCAGGCAGATCACATCCAGTAAACCAGCCCTTTCTGGCAGAGATGCAATTCTTGCTGTCCGATTGCACACTTTGTTGTGGTTGGGAACAAGAAGGGGGAGGGTGGGCCTTAATTTTAAGAAGGGGGGAGGGAGCTGAATAAGTAGAGATGGGAGAAGGGATATTTCTAATGAGGTGGGTCAAGGCCTAGGAGAAGTCCTTATTTTCGACTACTTCAGTTTTATTTTTTAAATTCTTAGAGTGCAGCTTGTTATGGGGTGGATACTGTGGGTGGAGGCCTGAATTGTAAGCTTCCTTCCCTCCTGCCTCTGCTGAACCTTCCCAGGAACTTAATAATAGTAATCTTAGAAGGGCAGAGGTGGAAGGGACCCTATGGATTATCGAGTTCCAGCCCCTCTCAAGAAGGCACAGTGGGGAATTGAACTCCCAGTCTTTGGCTCCACGGCCAGATGCCTAAGCCACGGATCTATCCAGCAGTCCACTTACATCTCACCTTTGTTCCTCCCACTTTTTCCCAGCAGAAGTCCAGTGGGAATGTGGGTTTGGGCACACTAAGGTCTCCTTTTCCTATTTGTGTCGTTTTCCTGTCTGGCCTGGCCTGTGGCTCTCTAGGGAGGTAAACTCAACTAGTGTGTTTTCTTGATCAAGCAACCAAAAGAGGCCACACACAAACATTGGTTGGTACAAGTCCCAAACAAATGGGACAGGGAACCTTTTCAAGCAAAGGGGAATACAGTAATCCTCTCCATACCAGATGGTTTGAATTATAATTCCCATCATCCCCTGCCCTGTGGGAAAGATGGGAGTTGTAGGCCAAAAAGAACGGGAGTGGGGAACCAAAGGTCCCTATCCCTGTTTTAAAAGCCTGACTGGCTTACCTGAGTTTAGAAATGTTGCTTTCTCTCTTTTTTTTTGACTACACTCTCCAGAATTCTCATCCACTATGGTCAAGTTTTATAGTTTATCCGTTCTCATATTTAGCTTACCTCTTTTCTTCTGCTCTCCCCCTCCTCTGCTTTCCTATAGACTAAGGCTGTTTCTATCCTGACCTGGATGTTGTCTTTACCAATGTCTTTATGATGTCTGCGAGGCCAGGACAGCCCTCTTGATGCATCACAATGGGTCTGAGGTCAGCATTATCTTCTCCCCAGTGCCTAACAGCCTTGCAGCTTTCATGTGCAGTTAGAGACACAGGAGCCTCTGGAGCAAGTTGGCATTGGCAGGGATGAATGTTAAAGGCACAGAGGCCGTTGCCGGAGAAATGTTGACTACCTTAGCAGCCTGGATAGCTCAGTGGCATAGGAGGTGACTGGCTGTGGAGCCAGAGGTTGGGAGTTCAATTCCCCAGTTGTGCCTTCTTGATAGGAACTGGACTCGACGCTCCATAGGGTCCTTTCCAGCTCTGCAATTCGAAGATTACCACATTTTCCGTGTATAAGATACCCCCATGTATAAGATGCCCCCCCACTTTTCTAATCCAAAATTAAGGAATCTAAGTGGGGCTTAGCAAGTGTAAGGGGAAAGGGATCAAAGCGCTGCAGGATCGCTTTGATCCCTGCTTTCCCCTCCACTTGTTTTTGTTTTCTCCTTATTTTTAACCCTCTTAACTTCATGGCCACTCTTTGACCTACCACATCAAGAAGGCTGTCCTATGTTCCCAGCAAAAATCCACATCGGCACAGTACCTTTATCAAAATTAACCAAGATGCCACACGCAAGCTTGCAAGCTTCCGAGTTCCCTAGAATTTCATACCCAGGCTAAGTCAGGGGTTGGGAAAGAGTGATTCTCCAGATGCTGTTGGTACTGCTGGTCTTGTTAACTACAGCCAGCACAGCTGCAAGCTGCAGTTCCACCAGTAACATCTGGAGGGCCACAACACCTGCCCAGTTGTGGTCTTAAGTGGTGCACACTGAATAACAAATTATGGGGTGAGTGAAAAAACAGAAAAGCCTGACGAGTTAATCCTTAGTAGGTATGTGTCAGTAGAAGGTTCTGTATACCTAGCAAAATACATGGAGGTGAAGAACCAGTGGCTGCTTTCCATTTGTGAAAACAAGAGTCGAATATTGGTTCAGCACCAAACACAGGTTACTCTTGTCAGAGTGTGAAATGCTGTGACTTTTTTAAAAAAGAAAAGCCCTTTCCTTTGTGTTGGAAAAAAGTACATGGACCTACAGAGCAGATGTAGCTTCAGGTTTCCCTCAGTATACCACCTCTTATTGGTTAGTTTTCCACCACTGGCACTTACTCTCTCAGTAGTTTCCAACCTTGGTTCCCCAGATGTTCTTAGACTGACACTCCCAGAATCCTGGCCAGCCCAACTCGTGGTGAAGGTCTTCTGTGAATTTTAGTGCAAGAATATCTGGGGACCCAAGGTGGGGAACCACTGGTTTAGAGAGAAGCAAAGAGAAACGTTGCAGATTTTGTATTTTTAAATACAGTGCAGCTGTGAGGAACATAGGCTTCTGATTTCTCCTAGAGGTCTATAAAAATCTGTAAGGCTCTTAGGAAGGCATCCAAGTGTCATACGTTCTGATCTGACACCAGAGATTGCTTTTTGGCAATATGCTATCTAGCTTGAAGTGCTCAGGAGAAGTTGAAAACTTGCATACTAATGTGATGTTTTAGGTCATTCTTCTCAACCTTGGGTCCCCAGATGTTCTTCAACTAAAACTCCCAGAAGATTTCATACTTAACTGTGCTGACCAGAATCTGTGGGAGTTGCAGTCCACTGTTTTGAATGATCCTAATACAGGCCCAGATCTGGATTTTGGTTTTTACTCGTGGCCCAGCAAAGCTATTTTAAATTTTTTTATTTCTTAAAAAAAAGGAAGCTGTGTTAGTCTGTGCAAGCAGATCAAGGAAAAAGAAAGAATTTTAAAAAAAAAAAACGTGTTGTGGTACCTTAAAGACTCGACTAAACGACTAAACACACACATAAGCTTTTGTGGCAAGGGACGTGGTGGCACTGCGGGTTAAACCGCTGAAGGCTCTGTGCTGCATGGTCAGAAGACCAGCCATCGTAAAATCGAATCAACGTGACGGAGGGAGCTCCCGTCACTTGTCCCAGCTCCTGCCAACCTAGCAGTTCGAAAGCATTTGAAATGCAATTAGATAAATAGGTACCGCCACAGCGTTAAGGTCACGGCTTTCCGTGTCTAGTCGCGCTGGCCACGTGACCATGGAAGCTGTCTTCAGACAAACACTGGTTCTGTGGCTTGGAGACGGGGGATGAGCACTGCGCCCTAGAGTCGGACACGACTGGACTAAATGTCAAGGGGAACCTTTACCTTTGTGGACCTCCGCCTAAATGTCAAGGGGAACCTTGACCTTTGTGGACCTCCTTAAGCCCACCATCAGACATGTGAGGTAGAAAATAGAGAGTAACACTAAAATATTCATGCGGGATTCTGAAGAGTCAGTGGTGTCTGGTTGCAGTTCACATGTGCTACAAGTTATGACCCCTGTTTAGTATTTTATTTATTGTGGGTGAAGGTTACTCCTATATCGATCTCAGTCTGATGCACCTAGGCTGGACTGCACGTCTCCAGGAACAGCTGGACTGAACTGCAGAGTTTCAGCTGGACTGAACTGCAACCGTTCAGTTCTCTGTTGGATCTGAGAGACGGGAAACTTTATTTTTTGGGCGGGATGCCCACATGGCCAGTGCTTCCTTCATCCCTAGTTTCAAAGCATCCGTTGCCCAACATTTTATTTTGTCTTGGTTTTCCCCGTAATAAATGTGAGTTATTGACTCCCGGCCCAGTGTGTTTAAAGGTCACCCTGTGTCCTGCACAACTGCCCGGCTTTTACACGTCAGTTGGACAAACATGACAAAGAGACTGAAGGACAGGCATTTCGGTGAAAATTGGAACAGTGGGTACTGTAGGGGGGGAAAATATACATAAGGGACCCTGTGGGTTGCAGATTAACTGAGCAGTAAACAAAACTAAAATGGGAGAATCCTCTATACATCTAAAGAATTGCAGGTAAAGTGTTAATCTCATAGACTTTACGGAGCCATACTGTATGACTGGTCAGTAAATGGCTATATTGTCCAGGGAATGATGTGAACTGGAGTTCCAAACGTTCTGGGGGACACTAGGTTAGAGAATCAGCAAGTTGGTTGTGGTTGGCATGTGGCCGCAGGCCTTTTCTATCAGATGGAGGTCTTTCCTGTTTATTTGACTGGATGTGAACCTATGGCCTTCTCAATGCTATGATGGTTCAGCACTTGGAAAAGCTAGTTTCTTTGACTATAATTCTGGCTATCCTAGGGGATACTGGGAGATGCAGTGGTGCCTCGCTAGATGATGATAATCCGTTCCACTGAAATCACTGTTTAGCGAAATCATTGTCTAGCAAAAAGCATTTCCCCATTGGAATGCATTGAAACCTGTTTAATGCGTTCCAATGGGGAAGAATCGTACTGTAGTTGTCTAGCAAAGATCAGCCATAGGAAAGCTGCTTTGTGAACCACCAATCAGCTGTTTAAATCGCTGTCTTGAGAAGCTTAGGTCCCGAAAACACCTGTTTTGCGAGCGCAGAGGGAGCTGCCAAAATCATAGTCTAGTGAAAATCGGTTTGTGAAGCAGGGACCAAACATTGTCCAGTGAAATTCCCCCGTAGGAATCACTGTTTTGCAAATCACTATAATGATCGCAAAAAGTCAATGTCTAGCGAAAAAACTGTCATGCGGGGTAACTGTCTAGCGAGGCACCACTGTATGCTCTTTTTGACTGAAACAAGCTCTACATATACTGCAGCATGTGGTATTATCTTGGAGTTTGTTTGTTTGTTTATACCACTACCACCCTTTCTCTCAGCAGAGGGATCCAAAAGCAAAGAATAATTAAAAATATAAGTGCTTTAAGAACCCCTTTTAAAAAAATTAAAAACTGATTTTTAAAAATAAAAAAAGAGAACTCCCCTGTTAAAATCCCTTCTTTAACAGCAACTTGCTTATTAAAAGCCTGTTTGAAAAGAAAGGACTTCACTTTTTGGTGGAAAGATAAACATGAGAGGGCCTGCTTGGTCTCCTGTGGAAGGGAGTTCCACAGTCTAGGAGAAGCCACCCAAAATGCCTTCTCTTGTGTCTGCCTAAGGTGTACTTGTGTGGGTGGCAGGACTGAAAGAAAGGCTTGTCCTGCAATCTTAAAACCTGGGGTGTCTTGTATGGGGTGATGGGGCCCTTAAATATCCTAGAGCCAAGTTTTAAAGATCAAAAGACTACTCTGATGTGTGTCCAGAAATGTAATTAACATTTTCTCAGTGGCAAGCATCTCCGCAGACCTTTTGTCTCCAGATTGTTTCTTTAAAATAAAAACCAAAAGTTTTAACTTGGTGCTGGACCATAATATTGCTAGGGTACTTAGGAAAAAATAAAAAGGGGAGAGGGTGGATGTTGCCAGTTAGCACCTTGTTAGCACCTTGTTAGCTTCTGCTGTTGGGGGGCGTGCCAGCCAAGCTCTCTGGCTCTCCCCTGGCTGACTCCTGCAAATTGTCATCTGGATGGCTACATCAGTTTCACCCATTGAACCCCAGTTTGATAAAGTGTGGATTACAGCAGATCAAACTGTTTTTCCAATAAAACGTCAGAATGGTCATTCATGAGGGTGACTCAACAATATAGTTTCCTGTTGCAGGTTGTCATCCAAAGTACATATACGTAGTGGATATATTTAGGATTGTACATGATGCCAATACAGGTAGATAAGCCCTAGGTCTAACTTCACGGTGTGACTAATAAAAAGTTCAGGAGATGGAATGAATATGAAAAATGTTGAAGTCAACTAGAACTTGGCTTGTGCCATCATCCTGTAACATAAATACTGCCTTTCAGACAATCTCATTTAGTCTGTGAATCACATAGTTTAATTGCGGCTCATAATTAGGCACAGATATTATCTGAATAATGTTATTGTTTTACTCAGCAAGAATAGCTTTGGGAGAAACATGGATTTCTGAAGAACCTGCCTTCAGGAGCTTTGTAGACCTAGTTTGCATTTCAGCTGCCCCTTTATCCTCAGGCAGGGCTTAA